CTGTAGATCTAGGAGCTTCTGCATGTGTGTCTGAACGAGGATGTCCTCATTTCTGAAGCGTTTCTTCAGCAGAAGCACCGCGTCCTCGTAGCACCGTGATGTGAGAGGCAAACCCCTGATGGCACTTGACGCCTCGCCGGTCACCGCAGCCCTGTGGTACCCGAACTTGTCGAAGGTATTACTTGCTCGAACTGCTCCCAGAACTCTTGCCAGGAGAAGCTTTTGCCGTCATACTTGTGCAGCTCGAGCTTCAGGTGCTTCACTCGACAGGCAGTCGTTGTCGCGTTTCCGTTGTTGTGCATCGCCGATGAATCCGAATTTTGTGGTGCCCTTGCTCGGACTTCCTTCAACTCTTCCTGAAGTGTTGCAATATAGGTGAGGACCTGATCATTGTATTCAATTGTTTGCACAAAGTTTTGCTCGGCTTCTTCCGGCACCAGTGGCTCGATGGCGGCGTCCACCTCGTTCAGTTGGGCTTGGAGGGCACCAAGCCTTGCGGAAAAGATGCCGAGGTTCTTTTCGTTTTTCTCATTGCTTTTGATGTATGAATCAATTTCAGAAAGGAGTTTGGTCACCTCTGTTTGCAGGGCAGTTCGTTTCCCCTTGAGTTGTTCCATGGTCCGGAGCTCGTTGCCTCAGCCGTTGGCGAATCCAAGATGGCTCCTGCCTTCTTCTCGTTCGTCTTTTTCCCTTTTCTGTCGTTGGATGTTCTGCGTTGGAAGTCACGTCCTAATTTCCTTCATTCCCGGGTTTCGGCACCAACTTTTTAACAGTGTGGAATTAGGGAAAGGACTCATTGTTTTTTAGTGTAACAGAACATGGTTTATTTCTAGTGAAAACTGATTCAAGTAAAGCGAGCGAAGGCACGTTCACCTTCGACCGTCGGTCAAACAAGAAGGGAGAAGTGGCCCGCACAAAGCAAGGTCCAAGAGGGGGGCTCGTCATTTATGACCCCACAGTGGGGCGCGCTCTCCTTGCGGCTCCCCGTCCCTCTTCGCGGTTTCCTAGAAAGGGGCCGGTGCCTCGGTCTCGGCTCGTCCTCAAAGTCGTTTGCCACTCTTTCTTTCCTGCTCGGGCATCTCCAAGTTCTCTTCTTTTTATTTTACAACAGCCTCTAAAGGTGTCCTTTCTTGTCTATGGAAGTAGGAAGCTTCTGGAGGCGACATGAGGTTACCAGGGGTGAAGCCAGAAGCGTGGAGGGACACGCCCCCAATGATAACCAAAAACCAAGAGATGCTATTGGACAGCTGTTGAGCCAGCTCTCCTTTTCGTCCACAAGCGTCTCTTGGTTTTTGCTCATCGTTGGGGGCGTCGTGTCTCCTCCACAAGCTTCCTACCTCCATGCGAAACGGCGCTCTGTTGTTTGCAGACCAGTGGCGTCGCTGTGTTTCCATAGGAGCTAAGCCTTTTTCTTTCTTTACTTTTTCCTCAGGTAAAATCGCTCTTTGCAAATTTTACAAAAAAAATGCACCATCCGTGGGCAACGCTGCACAAAGTCGTAGAGCGATAGGTTAAGAAAGCGAATTTTCCGGTCGATTTAAAGAGCCTGGCGTCTCCTTGTATGACCCTGTAGAATGCTTTCTTGCTGCACTTGTGAAGACAATTGTATCTGTTTTTGTATTTTATCCTCGCAGTACATGTATTGCAGTATTTGTGCTCCAGAATAGGTTTTCGAGTATATCTGACCAGCCCTGGCTATCTTTTTCCTCGTGGGCAGCTTCTATATAGCATACAGATGGTCTTCGTCCCAAATTCAGAGGCTAGAAGTATTCGATTTCATGTGGCAGACTACCTACCGAGCAAGTGCCCGCTCAAAATTTTGAGATAGTCACAAACCATTGGGGGATGGGTGCTTGTTAGGTCATCATATTAACATGTATATATGTGTACTGTGCACATTTTTTTTTCTTTCTTTCAAATGTTATAAAATTTGGGGTTGGGCACTTGGAATGGGCAGACGCTCTAAGCACTAGAACAGTGACCACGATCATCATTCTTGACCCCAAGTACACATGGTTTAAACTTTCAATGTTATTTTACACTAATAGGTATGGGGATGGGTTAAACTAGTTGGTATGTGTCTGTTATATGCATTGGCTTGTGCAAAATACACAAACACACACAGGAAGGAATGGGGCTCTGACCGCTGTCTACAAACTAAGGTTTACTACTCCTTCCTCTTCATTCCTGTTTACTGGGACCACTAATAGTGTTCACTTTTTTGATGGCTACTTAAAAATGATTACCCCTCTCATTGGATTCATATGTGCAATGTTTGACAAGTAGTGAGCCTGCTTAAAAATAAGCAAGCACATTAGAAAAGAACCATGCCAGTGTGTAGTTTTACTTTTCCCACATCATTTTAACAGCAATCCATCGAGCTTGACATGTTGTAAAATTGTGAGCCACCATTGTCGAGAAACATCACAGAAAACTTGGGCGATGTGACTTTCCTCCAAGACATTCCAGCTTGTCTCACTACCTGCCCCGCAGTTCCATGAATGTGACTTAGAACTCTTATGCCTTGGCACCCTACTCGCTGGATCTGGCACCATCGGACTTTCATCTATTCCCTGCGCTCAAACAAGATCTGTAAAGACAGCCGCTCCAGCAAGGAAGCCGTCATAGACGCTGCACGTGAGTGGTGTGAGGACCAAGAGAAATTACTTTTTTCTCAGTGGGTGGGCTCCACTAGAAGTGCATAACACTCAAAGGAGACTTTGCAGAGAAATAATAAAGGGCCATTTGCATGTGACAGTCCCATCAAAAATAGGCTCACTACTTCTCAAGCTTCCCTTGCAGACAGGTTGTGTACCAATCTTTAACAACTTTCTACAGTACTAGCCCACAGTTCTTCGTTATGCTTCATATTTTTTGTTGGGCGTATTTGCGCGCCTTGTGTTGCACTGCCAGTGCTCGTGATGTAAATTTGCTTTCGTGCTTGCCTGCTCGCAAGTGCAATGTGCCTGAAATAAATGGATGGATTTCTAAAGTTGTGTGCAGGGAGTTTTGTTGTCGGGTCTGCTGCATATATAGTCGACCATGCTGATCATCTGAGAATGTCTTGCCTCGTATATTTTCCCTACTGGTTTGAGAAAAATTAGGCATTCCATGATTTGACTGCACATGGCCCAGTGGAGGTCATGCAGCCAGAAGTGTCAGTATTCTGTAGTGGAAATTTGGGTTGATGGAACCTCACAAGTGGTTAACATCACCAAGTTTGGAAAAGAGGACAAACTGAGATGAGAGTGCTTATTTTTGTAGCTGCTGGAAACAGAAACGTCAATGGCAATGTGCCCAAAGTGTAGTGCATCTTTTTGCGGCTGCATTTTGAAACCCTGTTGCTGAAGCAAAGTTCACGCTGGCTGACCTCGGTTTCCCTTTATGTCTAGACTACCTATTCACCAATGCCAGGTGCCAGTTTGGCCAGCTTTTTGTAGTCGCAAAGAAAGATGGAGGTCAGGCAGGCAAAGCCAGCCCTCGCACCGGGGGGCTATGTTGCACGTTTTGGACTCCCAGGAGACTAGGGAGAAGGAAGTGACGTCAACGATGCTCGCTGGATGTTGATTGGTGTAGTCGCTGATGACAGTATCTGCAGAAGTTGCCAAGACACGTTCATTCACACCTACGTCACTTCCTTCTCCCTAGTCTTCTGGGAGTCCAAAACGTGCAACATAGCCCCCCTGTGTCGAGCACAGGCTCCAAGTCACTCGGGCAAAACTATCCGAGGCTTGCGGACATGTGTGAATACAATCCTTTGAAGATATTCTGAGGTAAGAATAGCTAGGACAAATCTGACACCTGCTGTCTGCAGCATGCGTACGCATAACAGTGGGCATATCACATTGCAGAGGCTAATTGGTAAGCACAGCGAGGACGACCCTTGACATCAACCAATTCGTTCACACACGTGCCCAGTCGTCGCTGCAGGTGAGGACGATGACAGTAGATGGCCAGTCGGCTTGTGGAATATTTTCTCACTGCCTGCTTCCTTCGCTAAATTTGTAACAATCGCTACGTCACTTCGCGTCACTCCACTGTGGGTGTACGAGTGCGTGCACGCTGCCCGCGGACATGCTTCAGCCCCTCGAGTGATCGCGCAAAAAAAAAAAAAAAAAGCACTGGTCGAAGCAGCTGCGTTCACGCTTTAGTACCGTTTCCAGTGGAGCACAAAAAAGCTGACATCGGGTATAGATCAATTTCGCCGCAGGGTTACAGGCTTGACAATGCACTTCTCCATTTCGACTAGCTGCGGGGAGCGCAATTGATTCTTGCAGAGGCGTGACAGTGTATATGCAAAGCACAATTCAGACGTGCACTCGCGGTCCAGATCACCGCTTGTGCTCCGTTGGCGTCTCATACGTACCTGGCGCGATTCCTGTTGAGGCCAGCAACGGGCGAATGATGTTACACCCGTGAATAATGCTGCCAAGCGGCGAGTTGGGCATCGCTGTAGGGCAGACTACACAACACCGCAGCGGCGCGTCGTTCGAATGAAATAAAACATTAGCTACACTGGACGTTTTAGCGAAAGCCAAACGAGCTGGGTTTATTTCCAGGACGTAACTGACTTCGGAACGCTGGCAGCGGTCACGGGTCCTTAGGCCTAAACACACCCTTCCGCCCTGGAGTACGCGAACGTTACGGCAGAAAGCATAAAACGGCCGTAGCGTAGCTGCCCAGTCAGCATTGAGACCTGTGCGCGTATGTTATCCAGTTTCACACTAACGATACCTTCCAATATCTAGGACTGCACCAATGCACTTTTTCGACTGGGGCGTGGAGTACTCCAAAACAAAACGGCAGGGCGGCTGCTCGTGTCGGCGGTAGCGGGGGGGAGGGGGGCTGCACGCAGCTTAGAACAGCGCGTAGCGCGCGCGTACCACGTGACTGCGCCAGCCAATCGCGGTATTCATCCCTCCTCCCTTTCCTCCTCTCCCTCCTTCTTTTCTCTCTCGCGGGGCTTTGCCGTGGGGGGTCTCACAATACGCTTCCCGGAGTGCCGTGCTTGGTGCTGCGACGGCAGCAACGCGGCCAACGACAGCACATGTTCCGATCGCTGCTCCAAGGGAGGCAGCCGGACGAGACAGTAGCGGACGACGAGAAGGGCCAGCCACCACCGGCGCACCGTCTCCCCCGTGTGCGCGCAGGCGTTGTGGTCGCCTTGATGCCAGCACCATGAAAGACCAAGTCGGGCCCTCGGACTCCTGGATGGCCGGGGTCAAGCTGGGCATTGTGCGGCTCGGACGGGCTGCGGGCAAGGTGAGACGGACCTCCCTCCCTGGGCGACGAAAGTGGGATTCCGTCGCGTGTTTCCTGCGACGACGGGGACCCCCACCGCTCTTATCACCGCTCTAAAACCCGACTAGTCCTCCCGCCTCTTTGTCTTTGGGGGTCCGAGGGCGTCTTTTCTTTCGCGGAGAGCGCCGTTTCCGGGATCCACCGCCGCGCGAGCGAGTGGTCCGGCGGACCTTTCTTCTCTTTATTTTTATCCGAGCTTTCTCGAGCGAGGAAGAGTTGCTCTCGCAGCGGGGATCACGAAGCTCGGCGAGAAAGCGGACTCGGGAAAAAGTGCAGCCTCGTTTCCGCGGTTGGAAGGGGGGGTCGGGAGATTGCATTGCAAACGCTCGTCGGCAGCTGCCGTTTTTCTGCTTTTGTTTTGTCTTTTTTTTCGCGTGGGGCCAAGAGCGCCTGGCTCCGCAATCCGCTAAATTTGTTATATATATATATTTTTTTTTTTTTTGGGGGGGGGGGGGGGGGGGGGGCAAGAGCGCCGTGCGCCTGGCGCCTTGGTCCGCTGGATTTCGCCCAACGCGTTGCGTTGCACCGTCAAACGTCTGCTACCTGAAAGAACGTCGTGTTGTAACTCTTTCCGTAGAACCGCGGCAGCAAGCAGTGCCGAAAATAATGGCCAGCGAAAGCGACCCGGGGTCCTAGCCACGGATTCGTGCCGTTCTCGCAATCAGCCGGGCGATCAATAAGGCCTCGCGACAGTCGGGCACGGTCGGCCGAGAGCGGACGCTGGCCGCCGCGAATGAATCAGCTGGCCGAAGGTCGGCGGGGCCGTTCTCTCCCCCCGACGAACAAAAGGCGGCCCCGCAGAGGAGGCCGGCAGGGCGGCTCCCTCCCTCCTCGGGTGGGGGACCTCTGCTCGCGCCGGCTACCCTTGGCTGCGAAGGGGAACCTTCCTCGGCTTGGGGGACGCCGAGAACGCCCGCCTTCTAAAGGTGCCCACCGAACCGGGCTCTTTGTCGACTCGGGGGGCCCTTCGGTACGCTTTCGGCTTCGGGGGTCGCCAGAATTGGCTCGGGCTGGATCCCCTTGAATGCGTCTGCGGCTGGCTTTTAGGTGGAGCAATTTTACCCACTGCCTTGACGTCGGCAATACACCCAAAAGTCTTGATTTGTCGTTATGTAGGGTGTCTGAAACGCCGAGACTCGATCTAAAATGGGCCGTAAAAATCAGCGCCTGCAAGGAGCACTCTAAACTTTTAGTCAACGGTGTATTTCACAGGTTGGTTTTATCACGCAAAATTACAAAGCATAGCTAGTTTCCTTTCTGTAAATAATGGGGCCAAAAATTTTGTCGGGGTCAACGGCGACGCAAACGACAGAGTTGAGTGGCAAAGTGTGTTTGGCGCTTATATTGACAGATAGCGCTACTTCCTTATCGAGACAGTTTACAACGATGTGGTCTACTAAAATTGACGTAATCCTTTTGTAATGACCGTTTGGCTTATTAAAGTAAAATAAAACACACTTGTATAACGATGGCGCCAACGGCACTCTTGCTGTCTACGGATTTCGTCTGTGTGTTGTCTGCTTTTTCGCTGGTTGGCTACACCTTCCCACGCTGCTCACAACGCCATCTATCAATACTTTCATCGCCGTCTGCTGTTGACCCTGGAAAGGTTTTGGCCCTATTTTTTACAAAAAGGAAGCTGCGCTTCGTAATTTTACATGAAAATACCTACCTATGCAATACACTTTCGACGAAAAGTTTAGATTTCCACGTGCAGGTGCCAAGATTTACGGCCCATTTTATATTGAGTCTGAGTATTTAGACACCCTATATATTTAGATGGTGTGAGGTTAGTCTGCCATTGTTTTGCCAATGCAATAAAACTTTTAGCCTGGGTTCTTAAATGTGCTTCGCACAGCAACTTGTTTTTCTAGCTTTGTTATCATCATTAAATTCTAATCATCTGGCACTGTCTAAACCCAAACCTGCACATTATCAATATGCTTTTGTCTTTAAATGATGTTGAGAATGTTAATTGTGCTCCCTGCAACAGCCAGAAAAACGATTGCTTGCAAGCCAGAACAAAAGTCAAACCACGTTTTGTTTGCCAATGTGTCACATTCATCAGGGAGAGGGAGGAGACAACCATGGTTAGATCAAAGAGAAAGAACATATTCCCAAAAGGAAAGTAGAAAAAATCAGAAATGAAGGAATGGGATAAATTAAGATTGTTAATGCAAAGCAAGGCATCACTAGATGCATTTGAGGAAAATTAAATGAAACCATAGGAAGGTCACGTGAAAATACAGTGCCCTTGACTGGCTGCTGTTGCTTCAAGCATCTCTCAGGTGCTGGAGTATGTTTCCTGTTCAGTTTTCACCCAATCCCAGCAATTTGTGTTGTGGTTTGAGGATGTAGGGAGCTACTTACCAGACACCTTGAAATTGTGGGAAACTTTACCCTGTCTGAAGTGGACTATTTTTCCAGAGACACTCGTGTGCATAAAAATATGTTTTGCTCCTTTAAAAAAACACTTACAGTAACTGGCCCACAAAAGCAAAGCAGATTGCTCTTCCATGGGACCAGGCAGACCAAAACACATGTACAAATAAAAGGGGTAGAATGCAGTAATACTAATAACACTATAGATAAACAAATTAAACAGAATTGTAAAACACAGCAATATTTGCGCCATGTAAAAGAAACTACTCTCCACATGAAAATCAAACAAAATCGCTGAACACTGAAATACTAGCAGACTCTAAAAACTGTACGACCTCACGTGAAGCATGACATAATAAACAATAGGGATGCCGCAAACTTTTTTCGAATCGAAGTTTCGATGATCGAATCAAGCGGTTCGAAAGGTTCGATAGATTTTGATTTTTCGATTTGTCTATATCGTAAAATTCGACGGAGGTCGAATTTTCAAACTTGTTAAGCTAAGAAGTTCGACGCTTTTCGAACCGTCAAACTTATTACGCTAAAAAATTCGAACTTTCGAACTTATTGCGCTGCAAGGTTCGATGCTTGACGAACTTTCGAACTTGACTGACCAAAAAATTCGATGAATTTCGAACTTTCGAACTTATTTATCAAGAGAATTCGAAAAGTTTCGAACTTTCGAATTCTGAAAAGTCAGAAGTTCGACGAACTTCGAACTTTTAGGGTAAAAGTTTGACGTTCGTCGAACTTCGAAGGACCGGCGGACGGTTTCATTTGATTTCAAGTAGTGGGGTACATTCGTAATTTTTTTTTCTCGAACTTTTACACGCGGTGCTGCGTTCCTTACGAAAGACAATGTTGTTTATTTCAATGTTCTGGCATGCTTAGGTTTAAAGAAATAAATCCCCGAAGGGGCGAGGAAGGACGACGGGTTTTTGACGATTATCGTTTGTGCCAGATTTGAAGCACGCTGCAGCCGGAGCTATTTATGGTAGATATGTTATACTTTTTTTTAAGAATGATCTATGTATAGCCTAGGTAAGGGCCGTCTTAAGATGTGATTATTGTTATTCAACGTGAGTTTCGAAAGAAATGTCCAAACATGTATCTGCATGCAATTATGTCCTAAACTTGATATTTATTTTCGTCTAAGTTGTTTGAGGTATCGCATTTAAATTAACACCACAGACAGTACATATCGTTGCCATCTGCAGAATACAAAATAATATATTTATTGTTTTTTCACGTTAAGAAATAAATTAACTCATGGGAGAAGATTTCTAATAGTGTTCAAGTTCAGCACGTCATTAAAAGAAAAATTTTTTTTTTTTTTTTCGCTTCACGTTCCTGGGACGTGTTTCTTTTAGCCTGTACACATTTTGGTAAAAGAAACTTGTTTCGAAGTTCTGAACCTCTGAATATGCAAGAATAGAACACTTCCGACGAATTCTTGATAGTTTTTTTTTTCTCCTGCTTTTTATTCCCGCATTTATTCTTTTTTTTTTTTTTTGTTACTATTGGCACAGGTGTTTAGGTCGAAAAGACAGCTTTGAACTTCCGAACCACTAAGCATGTGACGAGCAGTGCCTTCTGACAACGAGTTTCTAACAATGACCATCTACGCAACCTTTTATGCAGTGAAGAGCGACAGTAGCTATGCTATACATATGCATAAATAATTTCAGATTAAAATAAGCTCGACCACGCCCTCTTTCCCCGTATTGTTTTCTTTAACAGTCCGAAATACCTGCAAGGGGAAGAAGAAGGCTGAAGCCCCCCCCCCCCCCCCCCCCGCTACCCTCTTTCCCCCGTTTTTCCTCTTCCGACGCCACTTGTATGGTAGAACGCTCCTCGACCTCGAGTTGTGTCGGCTTTTGTGCTTTTTGCGAGGCGATTCCTCCGTCTCAGAAAATAAACCTCCAGGACAATTATAAACTTCACCGGATCGGATTACTACCAGCGTGCAAGGGGTGGCGAGGTAGTTTGCCAGGTCACTTCAAGGTTTTTCTGAGCCTCAACCTCCTGCTCGCCCCTGGCCGTTTTGAACTGGATAAGTCTCGTAAAACAGTGTGTTCGTCCAATCACTACTGCGTGATGCAGGTTAAAGACCCCCCCCCCCCGGGCTGGCGGTCACAATTCTGCACTGGCAAATATTCTAGCACGTCCGGGACACTCGTCGTCTCATTTACTTGCCTGACCAACTTCGCAGAATCTAGATATCACACCCTAACTTTTCTAAACTTGATTTTGTGAAAACAAGTGAGTCGTGAAAACATTATTTGAAACTGAAACTGTGGAAAAACTTGAAAATCGGACTTCGAACTTTGAAAACTTGGATTAGAAAGAAATTCAAAATCTTCAATGTTTTTTTTTTTTTTTTTAATTTAGCGTTAAAAGAGAATCGAAACCTTCGAACTTTTCGAACTTTATGCAAAAAGAAATTCAAATTGTTCGAACTTCATGTCTATAAAAATTCGAAGCGTTCGAAGTTTTTGAATCTTTTTTACAAAGAATTTCGAAATCTTCGAATTTATCGAACCTGAAGTAAAAAAATATTCGAATTCGAAATTTTAGAAACCGTGAAAGCTTCGAAATTTTCGAATTCGAAACTCCGCTGTGGTCAAAAGTTGCGAATTTTTCGAAATCGAACCTCGGTCGGTACGAAAATATCGAAATTTTTCGAAATCGAACCTCAGTTCGCTTCGCAAATATCGAAACCTTTCGAAATCGAACCTAGGGTGGTTCGCGACATCCCTAATGAACAATAGTTGAAAATCAACATCGCATAACACAGGAATTACTCTGGAGGGGAAAAAACGCACTAAACAACAGGGAAATCAGGTTTTACATTCTAGACACCACTTTTAAGAGCTTACTTTGCCATTTGCATGACTGATGCACTAATCGAATTATTGTGCAATTCATAAAAAAGGGAAGGAATATAATGCCGTTTCATTCTCTTTCCATAATTCGTAAATATTTTGGGTATACCTTTCAGTGCATCTCAGATTTCTCTTTTTGACCTCAATTTTCGAGCTTTTATCGTAGTAATGCCATGTTAATATTACACATTTATACAGTTTAGAAAGACATTATATTTAGTTAATTCATTTTCCTATATAATTATGTTGTCAAATGAGGTTCCGTACGCAACACTACTCGCAATCTGTTTGAGTAGTCTATCTATTCCAAGCTTTTTATTTCCTGCACATTGACCGAAAACAGTAATACCGTATCGCAAGATCGGCTCTCCTAAGGTCATAAAAACAGTTTTCCTAACATTTATACCACAAGCGCTCTTTAACCGGTAAAGATATGCTGATACTACGCAAAGAATTTTTTTTCTTAATAAATTCTGTGTGATGGTTTCATAAAATATGTTTGTCAAAAAATATGCGTAAGTACATTACAGACTGTTCGTATGGAAGTGCTATACTTTTACAAGCGCTGCCATTCCACGATTTTAAATAAAAACCTGCCGTAAGCTTCACCTGCTTATGGGGATTACGGAAATGTGCACGTTTCGTTTTGTTCTTATTTACTGGAATAATAATGTCAGAAAATTACTGCAATAACATGTCCAGATACTTTTGAAATATTGAAATTGCAAAATGGACAATTGGGCGAGTTGGTAAGAGTTCATAATCACTTACAGCGTGACTGGGACAAGGACAGACAGAGGAGAAACACAGAAACACGCTTGTCCTGCGTTTCTGTGTTTCTTCTCTGTCTGTCCTTGTCCCAGTCGCGCTGTAAGTAATTATGAATTGAAATTGCATTTTCGTATATGTCATATGGTAATAGTAGAACTGTATCGTCTGCATATAAGATTCTAGACTGTAGCAGTAAAAGACTGAACTTATTTATGGAAATGTTAAACAGCAGCGGGCCCAAAGTACATGCACTGAACCTTAGTTTTACCACAAACACAATTTTCTATTTTCACCAATTGAAATCTGTGTGAGGTAGTCATGGAAACAAGATCATAAAATGGTCCTCTAAAGCCCATTCTTTCGTGTTTTTCTAGACTTAATGTATGATCAATGGTATCGAAAGCTTTCGATGCATCTGGAAATAAGGCAAGAGCAATTTTATTGTTATCTAATGCATTGTTGATGCAGTCCGAAAACTCCTCCAAAAGTGCTGTTGTGCTTTTATTTTTCCGAAAACCATACTGCGAATCAGTAATAAGGGAATTTTTCAGAGGTGTTCATATTTATCTGAACCGATTTTTCCATCATGCGCGAAATTACTGGCAATATTGATATCGGTCGGCAACTCCCGAAATCCTTTTTATTTCCGTCTTTGTAAAGAGGCCTAAGTACTGCAGCTTCTGGCTCTTCAGGAATTTCTCCTGTAGTAAGGGAACCATTAATTGTGTTAAGTAATATTTGTTTTAGATAATCTATATTGTAACGTAAATAACATAATTTTTTTGAGAACCATCAAAAATGCTTTTTGATGTATTGACGGATGGCGCCAAACACTTTGCACAAAAGGCTCACTGTCAAATTGGGGTTTGACTGATGGTGGTGCAAGTGCCCTCCAACCTAAGAAAACATTTTTACACCTTATGAAGGTGGTAAGTGCCAGATTGCAAAAACATTGTTAAACCTTCCTTTTTTCTTTTTTTTTTTCATTTGGATTGATTTTTTTAATACACGTGAAAGAGCTACAAGGTGTAACGTAATTGCTCATGCTCACAGAAATGTACAATGAAATTCAATTGGTGCTGCAATTGTGACACACCTGTCCTATGCAGGCACATAAAAAAAAAAGAATTGGGGAATAAAAAGATTTTTGGGGGAGTACACTGCTTCAAAGGAACGTCCTTGTCATCATCTTTGTGTGCTAACGTAGCATTGTCTTCATAAGATGGGATTCAGACTTGTAGAGCCTTAAAGAAAAAGTCTAGATGTCGCCAAAACCTTAAAACTGTCCCTTAAAAATTTTCAGATATTCCGTTTTTCAAGACCCTTTCATTGGGAGTGCGAGTTTATATTTTTCTCTCTGAAGTTAATTTTTTTGCACATTTTGGCTTTTTTTTCTTTTTGTTCAGTTTCTGTGTTTCTTTATTTCTGCCATAATTGTTGAAGTATCTTTGTAGTGTTCATTACAATGCTTAACTTAATTTCACTGAAAGAATGCAGAGTTGGGGTCGACACCAGCTTGATGGTGCTCTTTTGCCAAGTGCCTTCTTTGGAAGCACACTTCCGTTAATATTTCTTCCACAACAGTGTGGCCAGGGAGACCTGGAAGTATCTGGAGCGTGCATGTATAAAGGGAGTGTAATCTGTCCAGCTATTTTTAAAAATGCACAAGCCCGGCCTGCATGCTGGGCCAGGCCCCTGTGCAGTGCTCTAGATATGGGTCCTCTGGACGAAAGTGTCTGGAACATCAGCTACAACTAAGAAATTCTAGGAATTTAAGGTAATATTGTGTACTAATCAGTGTTCTTTTCTTTTTTTTTTGTTTCCAGATCAAGTACACCCTTCTTGATGAACGGGACATCAGCCTCGTCCATGAGTACTCCTTTGAGGTTGGTGCCTCGTTGAAATGAGGGTTAATGTGGAGGCGAGCTATTGAATGGTCATTACTGACACGTTTCTTTTTCTTTTTTTTTCTTGTCTTTGGGCTTTTATTAGTGTTGTGTGTTGTCCTGGGTTCTCGTCTGACCCTTCCCCACCTCCTGTTTGATGTAACTGACTTTCTTTTGCACGTTTCTCCAGTATTGATATGTCCAAAGTGTTTATTGTCTTGCCATCCATACAGCCATGAGCCTGATTCAGCCAGAACACAGAAACCTGTGCGACTGGGTGGCAGTTGCTGTTGCGATTTGCTTGCATAAAACTATACTGACACCCTAAAAAAAACTTTATTTTCGCTAGTTGATTTATTATGGTGTCAGTCGACTACCCTATCAATACTTTGCTACAGTGTCACATATATTTTTATATTCAAAAAACGTAACTGCTCGAAACTGGACTATGGAGGGAGGAACAAGAAATATAAAGGAGGAAAAAAAAAAAACACTAATAATCTTGTGGCTGTGCAATTTTTTTTTCTTCAGTCGACGTATTTGCGGCTTTTAGAAGCCACAAAAAATGGGTATGATGATTTTGTCCATTTCTACTATTGAGTCTGTGCCTTCGATGACCGACGATTTTGATTATATTTGGTGGTTGTGTCTAAACCATAGAAAACGGCACGGGACCACAAAGAAGAGAGTGAGCGCGACTCAAACCGGCCAGTTCTCAATCAGTAATTTTCCGGCAGAAAAAAACAAACTATTTCGAGCTGCAAATTGTGCTCTGGCTAGTTGGGCTCTTATATATCATGTACAAATAAAGACCTTGGCAAGTATAAATACCCTGTCAGTGTCCCTTTAAGGAAACATACAAAATGTCCCAGATAACTTGCACCAAGCATTACCAAAAAAAAGGAGTGCTCTGTGAGAATGAAACTAACAGTATGCTGTTAGTTTGTTTAAGAGCCAGGGTGTGAATTGGAAAGTTGTAGAGCGCATTGAGAAATGCTTAATTAAGGTGTTTCCTATGTGATACTCTTTGTGTGCTTCTTTTTATTAGCCTAAAAAGAAAGCCCGCGAAATTTAAAAGAAAGATTATGGACAGCGCTTTCAGGCGTGTTCTGAAAGAACGAAGTCCACCTTATCACTGGTGCACTGTCCTATACGTCTTTGCGGCAGCACTTGCTCCCGTTTATCTTTGGGGTCTACCCCAACACGAAGCCCTGTCTCGGACAGCACACCAGTGATAAGGTGGACTTCATTCCTCCAGGCACGTCTAAGAGCGCTGCCCATGCCGTCATTGGTAGGCTGGAGGTGCCATCTGTTCGAAGGCTGGAGAAGCATGCATCCACATGCTACATTTTGGTTCTACTAAGCCAACAAAGCTCTTGGTTAAGATGGAAAGATGAATCGGTTTGTACACTGAAGCAATAATAAAATCAGTATATCAGTTGATACACCTTATTGCGGGTAAAGAAAAGCAAGACGAGCTCGTCCCGCGAACCCCCATGCCCTTTTTAGCTTTGCAGAGCGAATGCCGGAGAGGAAGCGAGTCTTGTCTTGTCTCCTCTCATGGCATTTGCTCCGCTAAGCAGAAAGCTTCATGGAAGGAGCTTAACCTGCAGCAAGGTACAGTATCAAATGATGCTATCAAACAAAGCATTACTATGCTCTGCAACAACTTTTCTTAGTAATGCAGTGGAAGATACAGGCACGCATTCTCTCCCATTTGCAGCGCTGAATAAAGCTGTGCGCGGGGCTCTCCTCCTCTCCCCTGAAATGCCAAAAAAAGTTGTTGCGAAGTATATCAGTTAATAGTAGCAATTTTTCTTTTCTTGTCTCGTTCCCTAGTGCTTTTATTATTGCTGTTTGGTAGTCTGGTCATACAATTTATGTTGGCTATGCAAATGCATGAATTAATGCATCATCCCTCCGGGTAGATCGCAGCACGTCTCAGACTTAATGGTAATAATGCTGTTGGAGTTCTTAAAGAAATGCTAATACCACCCCAGTAGTTTTTTTTTTGTTTTTTGCCAGACGATTTATTGTGTTGGTAGACTACAAGCCAATCAATATTTTGCTACAGTGTCGCATATGTTTTTAATGAAGTCAAAAACTCAACTCCTCAAAATCGAAACTGGACTGGGGAAGAAGGAATACGTATAGAGGTGCTTTCTAGAAGCCACAACAAATGGGTATCATATTTTTGTCTATATTTAATGATACAGTGTGTGCCTTCAATGCCCATGTCTAAGCCATAAAAAACGGCACATGGGTGAGACTCAAACCGGCCAGTTCTTGTTCGGCGGTTTTCGTCCGGAAAGAAAACAAATTTCAAGCCGCGAATTGTGTTCTGGGTGGTTGGGCTCTCGTATGTTATGTACAAATAAAAACCTTGGCGAGCATAAATATCCTGTCGGTGTCCCTCCAAAGGGATCATGAAACAATTTTTCAACTTGTTCCTTCTTATTTTTTCTCAACTCACAAATCATGCAGCGTTAACAAACATTTCAAGAGGAGGGAAAGGAGGAACTCCCCTCTTGCTCGGACCCTTCTTTGTGCACCCAGACATCATCATTCTCCCCCTAGAAGATTAGACCTTTGCTCAAAATTCGTATAAAAGGTGCTTTCCTGCCCACCTACCGCTTGTGGCTGTGGAAGTTACGCGCTTGTTGGGCCAGCCATGATTCTATCTTTTTTTCCATGATCACGCTCCCTCGCGCATACCCATGCGCAGAGGAGGGGTCGGGTGATGAAAGGGAGGCGGTCGATTGGTCCAGGAAATGCGTAGCTCCCAACGTGCTGTCAGCTTAGGGGTGAACAGAATGTAGTGAGGCCGGGTGGCGTGCTTTGGGTACTGCGGATGTATCGCAGTGAAAAGGCAAAGAGCTTTCGAAGAAAAGAAGGTACAAAATAGTCAGCTATGTTTTCAAATTTTTGTGCCGAAAAAGCTGGCTTTTGACTTTCTACCTTTCTTTTGGTCCACTAAACAATGTGCTATTAGTAAAATCCCAATCTAAATTCATATATTTCAGCCCAAATATTGTTTCATGGCCCCTTTTAGCTACTTTTTAACTGCTGGGTCATGTAAATGATTGTTTTATGCGGGACGTGTAGTCAATGGCACGCACCTCTATCGCAATGCAAAGGGCTCTAACTTGATTATTGTCATTCATAACCAAAGTAACAATGGTGCATAATCATACTAGTAGCATAACACACAAAAAAAAAAACTAACAGAAGCCTTAGTCAACTATTAACCTCGGTAATTCCATACGATTGCAATCTTTACAAATCCAAAACCTTCCACTATATTGAGGCTACTGCTGTATTGAAGTGCTCACGCTGGTACATTTTACTTTATTTCAACCAAGCTTAAGGATTTTGTGGTGGCATTGTTCCAAAAATTAATTTCTGTTAACTCCATAAGTAATAACTCCACCCTCGCTACCCTGTTGGGTCATCATTGCAGACACGTGATAATTTTCTAAACTAGATCATCAATTTGAAAAACAGATAAAGGACCCATCGCATTTGACGATGGCATGAAGAGCTGCAAATTGAATCCTTTTGATTCTTGTGGCATTTTGTGTGTATAGCGCTCCAGGGCAGTGTACAGGAGGCACCTCGGTCGGCTGTCAGTCAGCACGACTGATGTCCAAAAGGGGCAACTTTGAGCAGGCCTTGCCACTTAACGATTGGACACAAGCGCTGCATCACAGTCCGGCGGGGCACTCGGACTTTTGTGCTCGAGGTTGGGTCCAATGATTGTGGTTGGGGCCGTCCCAGAGTTATGGAGATTCCACATGAGATGGCGCTACCTATCCGACCAAACTTCATTGCCCCATTATTTTCCGGAAGCAGTGCAGTCCCAGGCACATACAGTCATGTCCCGTTAATATGGACACAATTTTCGAGGACAAACTTAGAAAATACACGAGTTTTTGCCTCATTATTATGGACAACTCTCATTATGAACAATCGTTTGGGGGAACGGAGGTGTCCATATTAACGAAACATCACTTTCTTCGAAAACATCTGCCGACTTCCATCAGTCTTAATTAACGAGGTTGTGTAAACATTGCAGTACACAAACTTCTGTGTGGCCGTAGCAACGTAATGTGGCGTGGTTGAACGCAACACAGGAAAGTTTAGCATCTGGATTGGCCTTCGCTCGTGCTACTACAGGATAGAACTTAATAGTCTAGCTAAGTCCTATATGATCGCATTTCGAGTTGAGATGCTTTTGATTCTGCAATAGTGTACTTTTTATAGGCTTTCACAAAGATGGAAGCTTTCACGTGCTCATTTATCTATTCATGTTGCACATCGAGGCCCTAGTTTGTGTGTACCCTCGAAATGATTGTTCATGCTTGAAAGCGGTTTGCCTTCTAGGTGACGAAGCTGGCAGTGGGAAACAATGACAAAGTTGCTGTTATAGGGGATGCTATTGCTTTATTGAGGTGCTAATTGCAGGGTAACCAAATGACTTGTTTAAATATGTGGTGTTCTGAAAGGACCTTTTGCAAACTACGAATTGGCGTTCTTTTAAGTATGATGTTTTGTAATGATGTTTAGCTTTGAAACAGAGTTTGACCGTCTCCACGCGGGACTGCTTGTGATCGGGCAGTGGCGGTTTTGTTGCAGGCCCGTGTGGAGGTGGACAAGGATGGCAATGGGGCCCAGATATTTGCCTATGCTTACGAGATGAACCAGAGCAAGAGCAGTGGACAGTATTTGCACCATTTACTCTGGTGAGTGGCTAGTCTTCAATTGCTGGCTGGATGGGCACTTGTCGGCACTTGCAGCAGGTTGTGGAGCAGAGAAGTGGAGTCTAAATTCAGATCAATGATCTGTCAAACAGTAATGGAGAAGAGCCAGCAAGAAAACTATTTGAGACATACAAAGAACAAAAAACCACAAAGTTCTGAACGTGCACATGTCCTGAAAGGTTACCCGTCTCTTGTTTCTGATGAAATGCTTATAGGAGAAAAAGGAATCGCTCGCTTTGTTAACGCATTTACTGGCGTTACATCAAAACGCTTCTAAAATCCTCACCCGCTAAAAATTCAGAAAGAAGCGTCTCTGCACATGCAACACATTTACGATAGATTTGCCTACATTCATTGAGTCTGTTACGTCAGAATTTCTTAAAGGGATACTGAACCGAAATTTCGAGCTCGCTAAACAAGGCCGGGCGGATAGGCGGGAAGTTGTAAAACCAAAAAAATATCACTCATACGACGATGTAGCTAACGGATCGCCATACTTTTTGAAAAAGAAGTGCGCGATTGAATCCGGCCGACGACGCAATGCACGTCACGATGCCCATTCTCTCTCCTCCTCGCTACGTCTCGTCAAGCTGGGGAACAGAGGCGAGGAGGAGAGAAGCGAGGCCGCTTCTCCTCATTCTCCAATTCTCCCGGAGGACAGTTACATCAAAGAACTCGCTTGATCGCGCCCTTCTTTTCCAAAAGTATGGCCATCCGTTTGAGATATCGATGTACGAGTGATGTTTTGGAGTTCGTAGCGTCCCGTTCAACACTTCTGCAGCCTTACTTTGAGAAATCCAAATTTCGGTTCAGTATCCCTTTAAATGCGTCAACAGCGCCATGACTAGAAACATTCAAACTCTCCATTGCACGGCATCTATGGGAAGTTCCTCTGCTGAAGTGACGTAGTAATGTTACATTAAAGGGTGGTTCACAGATGTGCGTTTGGGTGGGACCTAGTGTGTAGTGTCACCGCTCACGACGGGAGATGGTGCTGCCACACTGACGCAATCTGTCGGGTAGCCCTAGAGCAGTAGTCTCAAACTCATTTGAGCGTGGGGGCCAGATAGCCGACGCTGGAAAGGCCGAGGGCCAACGTTAGACCGAGGAAGAGGCGGTTCAAACGATTTAAAATTGTACAGACCTCGTGCTCTACGCTTTTTGTAAACTCAGTTTTGTCAGTGAAGTTTTTAGATGTGATTTCTTTATATGAATACTTTGGGCTGTGACCTGGCGGGATAACAATAATTAAAATGACACCGCCCCACCAACGTGCTCGCATTTTTAATAGAACAAAAGAGTAAGTACACTGTCGTTCCTGTTGCTCAATTCACTCAAGAATTAACCAAGCTGAACATTTATCTAAAAAAAAGAACAAGTTATTTGGCAGTTCTTGCTTTCCTGACGATTTCTATTACAACACCCATACTTGTTTTTTAATGGTGATATTTTCTTATATTTTTTTAGGTGAGATTCCTGAGCTTGTAGCTTTATCTTTGGCAGTTCCTTCTGCTGATCGAGAGTTCGCACAGCCGATATGCATTCCTCAACAAAGAGCTCGTGCTTGCAGCCAAGTACTGAAATTGTTGTGCGTTACAAAAAGCTGGCCCCATAAGATAAAGCGAAAGAAAGGTCAAATGAACACCGATAAGTAAAAACTACGTGAATATATGTTGAAAGAGCAGAGCGACATTTCGAGAGAAAATGAATCGGCAGGATGAGATCACTATAGCGCGTGCCATTTCTAGCGCTCGATACATGGGAACCGGGACGTGTAGCCGGTTGCCTGCGGGCCGCGTCCCAATGAGTCGCGGGCCGCGTGTTTGAGACCCCTGCCCTAGAGCATGTCCGATCTCCATACACATATTGTTAATTTTCGATGCATCCTTCTCTTGTTGTAGGCTCTAAATAGTTTTGACAAGTCATAAACTACCATATCTTGTACATAGTGTGTGGATTTGATCTGGCAAATACTGCAAAACCTCCAGTCTAGTTATAAAAAGATTGGTAGTGTTTTGGGGCAATTTGATAGGCGGGGCCAGTGTCTCCTCTCGCCGTAAGCACTCACGAGTGGGCACAACAAACTCTGTCACAATCTTAGGCAGCCTTCAAAGACAATTTGCATAGTGTTGCCCCTGTGCCTAGTTTCCTTTCCTTCTGAAGTCTTTGACGCCCTCAGGAGGTTGACCCGCACTGATAGGTCTACTACTATCCACTGTCCCGATTCTCCCAAAAACTCTTATATGCAGTTTCGATTTGGGATGCGAGCCATGAAAGCTTAGCACACTTACTACTAGGGGTTCAAAGCAGTCAAGTTTGTTTCGTATTGTCCAACTATAAACAAACTGTTAACATCAGCACGATGAAATCGGACCTTGACCCACTATCCTGAGCATCTTGCCAGAACACCTTTGGTCTGTGCCTTTTTCACAAGTTACCGCAATACGCTTACCTGCATGCCAAACATATTTTACCCTCACCAAGTTTCACCTCAGTTACTAGATCATCTTCGTAAGGTTGGAGTTTCATCGTGTAGAGCTAATGCTTTCTACAATTTTTTCTTGCGCATTGGAAGAGTAGAATTGCCTTGTAGTACCAACATCATCAATCGAAGATTCCCAACAGTTTAACCATTCCATAGCTAATACTGTAGAACTAGAGTTGATTGCAGATAAGTGTACTACTATCGTTTGCCCCAAGGGTGTGCAAAATAAGTAAATGGCAGCTCCCGGGCCTGCAGGGAGCGGCACCTGGGGGGCGTGGCGCCGGGCTTCGGGGTGTTTCACCGCAATGGGGTGACGATGGACAATCGGCTGGAGAACCTGTGCCTGGGGCAGGCACGGCCCCTGGCGCCCCGGCGGGGGGAGGCGCCCTGCAAGCAGCGGGAGCACTCTCTGTACTGGGCCGCCATCCAGCAGCTGCCCCCGGAGCACCTCGTTGAAGAGGTGGGTCATTCCAGTGCGGAGCACGTGTGAGGCTCGCTTCAAGCGGCAGAATTTATCCAGCAATTGCACTTCTATTCACGTTACATGCCGACGATCGGCCGGGAAGGAGGAAACACTCCCTCAATTCCTTCTTTCTATTCGAGAAAGAGGGAGACCCTCCTGTCTGTAAGGAGGGGAGGAGAGAAGAGTGAATCGAAAGATGGAAACTGGGAACAGGTTTTCTGCCCTGCAGAAGACGATCTTGCGGGTCGGCCTGCATCAATCGACCTTTGTCAAAAGTGCTACTCACTGGGTCTTCCGTGTACATGATTGGTTCAGAAACGACGGATCACGTGCAGAAACGCGACAAACACCTTTTGACACTATTTGGATTGGTCTCGGCCGCTCTTAGTGTCAGCTGCGTCTGGGCTTGAAGTGAGACGGAGCATAGGCATAGACTACGGGGGGGTGGGGGGGGGCATCGGGGCTCGTGCCCCCCCTGGTTGAGATCCGAGGGAGGGGCAGCCCCCCCCCCCCCCCTTTCCCCCCCCGGGCCATGATCCTTACCGAGACACTGTTTACTTGCCATGTAACAAGGTTCTAGTAGTGGCATCTGATATTCTGCAGCTGCAGGCTTTATTTCTATGTATTAAAGAGAAGAGACTCGTGGCCGAGTGGATTACTGCTTCAGAAGCACAGGAACCTGGGTTCTATCCCCCCACAACTTCGCAGCTGGCACAAGCATTTTGTTTTTCAGATTTGTGCTCGCCAACGCATGCGCCGTGGTACCGACTATGCACACACGGCTACGCTTGCACGACGATTGACATTGACACACAGCGACGGACACAGGGCGATATACATACGCTGTAAAAGGTACTGCCTAAAATAAACTACTGATAATTGCCGGTGTAAACAAATTGTGCAGAAAAGCACCCTCCCCGGAAAACTTCCCAGCCTGCCCCCTCCCCTGGGAGAATGGAAAGTCTAACCGCTGAGACGAAGTATAGATTCCTGCCTTGCAGAACGAATTGCGTGGATCAGGTGTGGCCCAAAAACGGGTCTAAGACGCTTGGAGCGGCCGCAGCCAATCGGAGACACAATATTTTCACGTGTTCCCACTGTACTTGGTTTTGATTTGCAATAGATGATTTTTGCTGCAGAATGGTTTAAGAGAGATGAGATAGTATTCTTGGCACCGTTCAAACACGTGAAGACACATTACTAACGTGTAACTTTATGGCTAAATAGTGTGAGAAAGTTACAATTTTATTGATGATCTCAAAACGTAGCAATTCAAGCTTCAGCGGTCACTGCGTGCGGACACGGTCTTCTCACGTCGCTGGCGTTGTGGCACCGAGACTCTTGAAAAAATTGCCCCTGCCTAAGCTGGCCTAGTGAATCTGAAATGGGTCTTCGATGGGCGTGGTAATCCTGATGGTGTCTCAAGCTAAAGCAAAAAGAACTCACACTTTCTTTTTTTATTTTTTTATTCATTGCCTTTGGTGCTTTAAAATGAGTGAATCAGCTTATTTTATGACTCTCTGTTAGATTTTTTGCCATGCTTTGTGTGCACAAGAGCAGGTCATTTTTTGCATCTGCATTGCAGCCATAGCATAAAAATAAGCTACATCAAAACTAACACCAGATGTAGAAAAAGAAAATGAAGCATTATAAGCTGAAATTTTCATTCAACTATAATAAATATTAATAAAAAAAAAAAAAACTTTCTGGTGCATGTTTTTTTGAAAATGTGCTTTGAATCCATAATTTGTGGCACATTCATTTCGAATGCTGAACATTCCGTGAATGGAGTACTCCAGAGAAGCAGTGCACTTGACAAAAGTGTACTGGTATCTTTCATGCTTGCTGACTATTCCCTGGTACTTACATACCTGCTTATAGGTGAGGGACCGCCAACATGCGAGCACTGTGGAGAAACTTTATTTGTTCTGCATGTTCTCTTTCTTTGCCGTGGCCTTCTACGACAATACAAGACCTATTTCCCTGAGTTTTTCAAGTACAACGTCCCATTTCACCCTGTCTTGGTTCTAGGGGAGCAGTCTCTTATATCATTTGAACGTCTTTTAGCTTTTCTCAAAACTACAGGTATCTTACACAAACTATAGCTAAGTTCTAGTGTAGTCGGTGTACTTTTAGCACTGTTTTTTAGCTTGCCTAGTTTGGCGCAGTATGGCCGTCGGAGCTCTTGCTTCATAAAACCCGCAAACAACAACCCTGGTACTTACACCTTGGTGCGCTCTATCTTAGTTATCGGACGCCGCTGCCACCAAATACTTCAATGCCAATGGAGAGGTGATAGAGGAAGAAGGTGAGTTCTACTGTTTTTATTTATCTATTTTTGTTTTTTAGTTTGACAGTTGCCGACCAATTTTTTGGTCGTCGCAGGGACCGAAAAGACGTCCGAATAATAGAGCAGTCTGAAGAAATCATCAGATTAAAGCACTTGGCTTTATTATGTGTAAGCAGGCTTAAAAGAGGCGTAAATAGTTCCTTGCTACAGGTTACGCTTGCCCGCCTTGTTTCAGGTTATGCTTCCGTTTGCGTTGGGCAACTTTCTATTACTTTGAGAATCGCTGCCTCCTTTCTTAGCACTATGATCGAGTAGTTTCTGCGCTTCTTAGCGACACATCGCTGCGGCGGAAGAACGGGCAGGATAATGACGTCCAAGCCAGCGTAGTCCGAAAACATAATTCACCGAGACGAGATCGAGATGAGGAGCAGAAGTCCACGACTGCAATGGCAAATGAACAAAGCAAAATGGTAACAACAATGATGATGATAATGGCGTGCAGCTAGAGAAAGAAGTCGTACAGTGTCACCTAACAGTAGGACTTAGCAGTACTCAAGTATCGCTGCCAAACCTAGCCAATCCATGTGCAGCCAACATAGAATCCAAAACGGCAGCTTCTTGGTTGTGGCTCCCGCCAATCGCTCGCGACAATTTCGCCAGAAAAATCAATCTCTTGGACTTCAAGCTGTCCGAAACATTGGTCGTGAGTATGCACTATCTCTATCGGGTAGGTTACGGTTCCTCCTTTAGGTCCGAAATATCTAACAAATCTGAATTATCGACGTCTGAAAAATCTGTCGGCAACTGTATTCTATAGCACATACTAGGCAGGTGTTTTCAAAACCTTTTAATCTTGAGGAGGGCCTATTGATGGCCGAAGAACTCCTCCTTGTCTCAGCGTCAATGCAATTAAGCAGTGCAGAAGCCTGCAGTTGTATAAACAAAAAGGGTGTCTTTTTCGCCCACATACCGTTGTAAAATTCTGAGCAAGCGCCCCGACCGAGCAAGAGCCCCTCCCAACTTCACCACTAATTTCACATTTCCGCGCCGTTCCGGGAAAACGCCCCCTCCCCGCTCCACACCCATATCGCGCACCGCGCTGACCGCGCCCAGGCAACACTGGCCGGCGAAATTCAGTCCAAGAATCCAATCCAATCTTACTTTGCAGCCCGATCAGCCCCGTCGCCATGCGCCATTGTTGTCGCTTTGTTTTGGAGGTGTCGGGTCGGCTATGCATTCTTATGCAGTGGCAAAGAAAGTCGAGGTCGTCCAATGGCATTGTGAAAACGGGGAAAAACGTACACCAGACGTCTCGACACATCAAGCTCGACCGGATACAGGAATGGGACACGAATTTTGACAATTTGCTACAGCCAAACTATGAGAAAGCCAAACTTCGGCAAAAGCTAAGTAACGGCGCGCCGGTGTTCAGTGGATACAGGGATGACACACTTTTTTAATACCTGGAGCGCAAAAGAAGTCTAGGATGAGCCACTAGCAACCGGCTTCTTTCTGAAGAAACCACCAAAAGACTCTGAGGAGTCTTGTGGTGGTTTTGAAAGTGATTAACATAGCAGTGACAAATCTTTGGTCTAATAAAGTCTATGTTCTCAGAGATAAATAAAAAAATTAAATCTGTGTGCACTGCACTTTTTTTTCTTCTTCTGGCAGAAAAATTTTGTCGTCGCCATCTTGAGTTTTGGTGCCGTTTCGGGATAGCGCTTCCCCCACTTTGCAGGTAATTTTTACTTGCGTGCAGGGGGGGACGCTTGCTTAGAACTTTACGGTAGTGCGAAGAAGTAAAAGCGATAGCTGTACGTTGCCATGTATGCGCTTCCGCCTCGCACTGTCGTACCTGGGGATCCTCACCGTCCTCGCTTTGCTATGTACACTCAGCACGGGCGGTCTCTCGTTAGTGAAGCGTGTAGTTCTCCTTGGGGCCACTGCCTTTGGGAGTACCACGTTCGCGGCGAGACGCTCTATTGCGAAGCAGGTTCGTACTTGCGTGGCATGCTGCTCGTTGAGCGCAATCAGACACCAATCACATTGGTCACGGTGATAAACTCTGTTTATTTACGATGAAACAAATAACAAGAAATCAGCGGCTATAAGCTGATGGACGTCGCTGGTGTGGAGATCGCCCACGCCCAAACGGTCGTTCATGAAGAACAAAGGACGGTGTAAACGCTCACTGGTGCACTGGATGGTTCCCCGTTGTGGCTGCCGCCGAAATCCCAGGAAGAAGAGACGAAGGTCCTCCTGTCCGCTGGTTTTAAGATAACCACGGGGACGAAGGGGCCAATCAAGGAGCGACACGTCGATCTCGTTTCTGCGGGGGTTCGTAGCGAAAATCGCCTCAAAGGGGGAGAGGAGGAAGCCACTCACAGTGGTAAGCAGTGCCACCTCTCGCTACGTCAGCACAGCCACCACGGCGCGCCGAAACGCTGACGCGACAGAATGTTGAGGGATCACCATCCCCACAAGTGAAAAATAGGGACACTAACCAAAAATTTAATAAACATTTACCCGACATTTCGGGACTAGTTCGGTCCCTTGTTCACGGGTCTGTAACGAAAAGAAAAGAACATGCGCCGCCTCAATGCACATACGGATGTAGGGGGCTTTGCTCACGTCATGCAGTCCCAAGACGTAGCTGCTACGCAGGGAGCCCGAAGAACGATTCACGTTCCCCTTTGTGTGCTTGATAAACCAAGACTCAAAGAGCCGCTTTCGCCTATTCCTCTCCAAGGCCAGCACGGTACTTCCCTCGAAGTTGACTGTGTGGTCGGCTGCTTCTGCGTGCTCCGCGAGGGCGCTTGCCTCCACATCCTTCTTCCGGACATCATATTTGTGTCGCATAAGCCTCTCTGCGAAGTTCTTACTTTTGCCAACGTATGAGGCCGGGCAATCTTTGCATGGTATGCGGTAGACCAAGCCTTGGGCCCTTTCTTTGAGGGGCCAATCCTTCGGGAGGGGGAGGCGATGACCGATTGTCGACACGGGCTTATGAGTCACCGCAATCCCGTAGCGACCGATGACGCGGGAAAGGGCCTTGCTGGTGCGGCTAATGTAGGGGACACAGACGCGATAGGAAGGGGGACTGCTGCACTTTAGGGGTGGATGCCTTGATTTCTAGAGTGTCCGAAGAATAAACCGTTCAGCGTAGCCGTTCTTGCGGAGATCCGATGTAACGACCTTGATTTCCTCCTGGAGGCTTTTCTTTGTGGAGCAGGTGGCGAAGGCGCGCCTGAAGAGTGCAGAGGTCACCGACGCTTTATGACATCGGGGGTGGTGGGAATCAAACCCCAAGTATCTGCCAGTATGGGTTGGCTTCCTGTAAACGGAGTGGTCAGTGTGGGTGGACGCCGGTCACAAGCCGCATAAGCCAGCCATTCTCTCCGCGCTCACTCCTGAGACAGAGTACGGCCTTGGCATGTCGGCGCCACTAGATAACCTGTGGCACTGACGACGCAAGTGGAGGCGCAGGTTTTCCTGGTGTTGTTGAGTGGTGAAGAGAGGGGATAACGTTGACGTTAAGCAGAGAGGGGGGCGTATGCAGAGAAAGGCGGCGGGGAGGGAAGGTGACTAGTTTTGGCAGAACATATTTTACATTTCAATTTAGGTTTGAAAAGTAGATTGTGGTGGAAGTTTCTAAAACCCTCCAACATTACGCGTAACAAGTGGATACTACCAAAACGGGATTTCGTATAACACGAGTAATGTTTGAAAACACCTGTTTTAAAGTTATTGGCCGGTTGTCAGGGCTCTCCCCTCTTCGCAGGGTGCAGACAATGTGAACACCCGACTTCTCTTTTCTTGCATCATGTGAGGAGATGAGGATTTTTTCGCCTTCGGTGCGACTACAGACAACAAATGCCGACACCAAAATCTCTGCAAAATGTCATGCATAAAGCTATCGCTTTAAACCCTCGGGGTCATCTATCGGGCATCTCCCATCAAATAAATATTTCCGTTCTGGTGAATGGTTGGGGTTTCCCCGATAGGTCCTTTTCAGGGATGGCCAAAATACATGCAAATATGTATCGAAATACAAATACAAAATACTTTGTCAAAAATGTATTTAATTACAAATCTAATTACATTTCCAAAAAAGCATTTAATTACAAGATAAAAATACAACCAAATGTATTTGGTCTCCTCCAAATACTTTTCCAAATACATTCCTTAAAATTTGCGTCAGCGACTTCAGGGCACCAGCAACGGGTTTCTGGGTATCTCATTTTAATTTTGCATCGCACACTCGGGAGTTAGTCTGCGAGGCTCTAGCAACGTAATAGAAATATAATCACAAAAAAAAATGTAATCAGCTTGGACGTAATGCGGAGGGCAAGTTCGTCTGCTTCTTGCGCAGGGGGTAGCGGTGACAACAGAACGCTGAGCCCTGATTGGCTCATCGCGACCCCCTATCTGAGCGTCGTCTGCTCCTTTACAACGTCGGCTGCCTCTGTCTTACCTTTCCTGCGACTTTCGGAAGTGCAGAGGCTAGATTCACGAAACGATCTTAAGGCAAAAATGTGCGTAAGACAAAATATTCGTATTCACGAAACGAAATTTTCGTAAGTTTTGCGCAGGTTACGACGAAATCCTACGACAGCTCCGAAGCTGTCTTACGCACTTCTTTCGATAAAATCAGCATGACCGACAGCGTCGCGGTCGCGACGACCCACGGACGTTTATTTTTCTACGTGCGCTTCTCACGCGTCCCTACTTCAAGCAGCAAGAAATATGTAAAAAGTACTTGAAACAGACCACGACGAACAAGAACACTGGATCTACAAACACCCGGGAAAAGCTCCAACGTCCACGATTCCACGGAACGCGACCAAGCGAGCTTTGCAGTTAGGCCTAGCAGGCAATCCGCTACTCGGCGACCGTCTGCCCACGACCGGCTGGCGTGCTGGATGGAATATGCCCGCGCGACCCTTGTGAACCCTTCCCGTATTACTATACATTGATCGCTGACCTCAATTTTAGATTAAGAGGTAAATTCCTTCCTC